TTCTTTAAAATAAAAATAACTGATGTAAAAAAAAAACAGATATAGCTCTATTTAGCTCGTCTACTATGGTCTTTAGAAATATCCTCTGAAATTCTATTATAGAATTATAGACTTCTATTATCAAAGAGCTCTAGATTGTAGAATAACTCCAAGTCTTCCAAATTTCACACAACTACTTTCACAAATTCCCTATTTTTGTTATGGACATCATTTTTCAACTTACTTAGACTTAAAACCTGTTTGGACTTAAAGCCTTCTGTCTAAAGTACAACTTTCTTTTGAGATAGATTTAGATTCACGAAAAAGTTGCAAAGAGTACCAAAACTTCCTGTATACCCCATGCCTAGTTTTCCCTACTGTTGAAATCTTATATTACTACAGTACATTTGTCACAATTAACCAATACTGACACACAATTGTCACAGTGAACTCGTTAATACACTAGTATAAATAAAACTTAATGCTTTATTCAAACTCCCATCTGTTTTTCTCTAATATTTTTAGGCATTCCATGTTTATTTCTATTTATTCACATACTGTTCAGCATTTTTTTAAAAAAAATTTAAATATTCTGAATTACTATTATTTCCCACATAAACTGGTTTTCTTCTCATATTATGTTAATTATAAGCATATGTTCTTCCTCCTCCTCCTCCTCCTTCTCCTCTTCTTCCTCCTCTTCCTCTTCCTCCTCCTCCTCTTCTTTTTTTTTTTTTTTTTTGCGGAACTGGAGATTGAACTCAGGCCCTTGTGCTTACAAGGGAAGCGCTTTTTCCACTGAGCCATCTCCCCAGTGCCCTTATAAGTATATCTTCTGTTTTCATCCACTTACAACATTATTGAACACATGGGGGAATAAGATACAAGCCTGGCCCCAGAATCACCCCAGGCTGACAAGGATCTCTTGTATAACCAAGGCTCAAGCCTGCAGGCCGCAGGAGAGCCCACCAGCTGACTTCCACATCTACATCTTGTCTACAGAGACGTCACGAGGGATCAGTGTTTTACTTCATTTCTGATACATTAGGCCATTTTCTCTACTCCATGCACTAGCAGAGAAATAAAAAACTGACCATGTTGCATTTTAAAAACATCAATGTTGGGTTTACTTAAATTTCCTCATCTAGAGATTAAAAAAAAAAAACAAAACCAAAAATTAACTCTGGGCTACAATTAGAGGAAGAGCTGGGCAATAGTGGTGGGATTAGTTTTCTGTTTTCTGAAAATCAGAACTACTTATGCACATTTTTAAGCTTCTGTTTTGCTGTCTCTACACATCTGAAGTTACTCTGGGTGAAAAAAAAATAGGAAAAAACTCATGATTTATTAATATTATATGAAATATGCAATTTTTCTGTTTAAACAATCTGTCAGTAAGGTTTTTTTTAATTTTTATTTATTAGAGAGAGAGAGAGAGAGAGAGAGAGAGAGAGAGAGAGAGAGAGAGAGGGGTGTGTGTGTGGCCAGCTCAGCCCACCAGGGGGCGGGGCTGGCTGGCATGTGGTGCTGGGGGATTGAACCTTGAACCAGGTGCTTTGCTAAGCTTGTTCTAAGTAGGTGCTTTAGACCACTGAGCCATCTCTCCAGCCCCTGTCAGTAAGGTTTTACATTTTTATATTTTATGAAATCTGTTTGTTTAAATTATTTATCTTCTTATATGCCATAATTCAAAGATCACCTAGCTGCTTTCTCCTAAATGATCGTCATTTCTGTTTCAATAAGGTTATACTTTTGTGCATGCTTGTGTGTTAACTGTAATTTTTCAGTGCTTCATTTAAAATGTAATTCAATGCTTTACTTCTCAGACTATCAGGTGGATGAAAACGCTAAAGAAAGCCAATTCACAATATGGTGCATTACCTCCATCTACAGGTCATTCTCACTGCTAAGTACTTGACAAGAGTATTTTCTTTGCATTGACGTTGAATGAACCCTTAACGGTTGATGACAATACTAGTTCAACAACTACTAAAACAACTCCAGTAGTTCCCTGCAGTATTTTGGATTTAGTTCTAACACTGTACGGTGAGAAGGCAGAAGCAGCATCCTGTGATGGAAGAAAGACTGAGCCCATAAGAATAAGGGATTTGAGTTCTGCTTTTTCTTTTTCTACTTATTTTGTGGCTCTGGTTACTAACACACACACACACACACACACACACACACACACACACACTGGGCTTTGCTTCTTGTATCTAAAAAAACGGAAATAGGCTGGTGTGTAATACATGTGGATATAATTTGCAAACAGTAGAGCAAAACAAATATGTAAGCCATTATTTATAATTAAAGCCAGCTCTGTCTGGCCAACAAACTACAAATCCATTGGCAACCTTTTGCTCTTGGTTCCAGAAGTATATTAGGCTGGTACAACAAAAATATCAGAATCTTATAGGACATGCAGGTAGCCTTAAAGTTACAAAGCTATTTCATTTTGGAAAACACACAGATGAAAACTACATATTTAAAATGTTTTTCAATTATTCCATAAATATTAACTTTTCATAAAAATATTCTTAAAAGAGAATACCTTTCATTTCAAAGTGAAGGCTTATCCTATAAACTGCAGGTCTGTAAACTTTTGCTGCAGGGTCAGTAAATATTTTAATCTCTGGGACCAAGACAGTCTTGTACAATTCTTCAACTCTTCTATGAAAAAATATGCATGAAAAAATATGCGTGTGGATGTGTTCTAATAAATATTTATTTATAAAAACAGGCTGCCAGATTTGGTCTAAAGGTCATAGTTTGTCATTCACATTAAATGAAAGAGAAGTTTGATTATATCAGCATACTGGAAAAGATTCCAGGAGAAAAGATTTTATGTCAAGATGTTAATGAAAGTGATTATGGAATCAGTTTACCTAAATTTTACCTATTATTTCTTAAAGTTTAAGAGCCCCTTTTCATTATCTTAAACCTTACTATTTAGTTGGATATATGTAATACTTTTGAATATGAGTATTTTTGTATTCAGTAGACAAGAATTAAGATTAAATTGGCATTCATATTTATTAAATTCCTATCAACCTATTAGCTTTTAATATTTTAAATTAAAAACTGATATTTAATAAGAAATCATGTAATATGCAATTGGGCTATTACTTTGTGTATTAATAAGATCTTATCTCAGAGCTAAATCACTTGTTACCAGTAAGGCATTTAGTACACACACACACACACACACACACACACACGGAAAAACAAAAAAAGAACAAGGGGGGCTGGGGAGATAGATCAGTGGTCTAAGTGCCTTCCTGGCAAGTGCAAGGACCCAAGTTTGATCCCTGGTACCGCATGCCATGCTGGCCCTGAAACCGGGCATGGAGGCACATGCCTGTAATCCCAGCCCCAGAGACAGGAAGATTACCACTATGAGACCAAGCTGTGTAGCAATACCCTGTATCAGTTTAAAAAAGAGAAAGAAAAGATAAAGAAGTAGCCAGATTAATAGAAGATAGACTAGGCAGCCTCGTAAGGGCAAGTTCAGCATTATCTAGGCTTTCAAGGTAATTACTGAACTCTCTGAGAAAGTTCAATATTATTCTCCTTTGAAATTTGGAACATCACATTAATAAAACTCCTCAAATTGAGAATTGATATCAAACAGACTGTTTAATGTGATTTTTAATGGATACAGAAGAATGTGGGGGGAAAGAGGACAGCGGAATGATAACCGAGGAAGAGGGAGAAGACAGGGAGAGTGAGAAAGAGGAGAAAAAGGGGGTGGGAAGGCAGAGAGTTAAGAGCAAAGCACGGATGGATGTTCCTTCTGTGTCCTCATCCGGAATGCCAACTCCCCAACACTTCCAATTTCAAAAGAGATGCAGAGAAAATATAGCTTGATCGGTACAAGTTGATTACAGATACCCCTAAAAGCAGAAGGCTAGAAGACCTTATCACACAATACATTAATTTATTAATATGCATTAGTATTATGTACATTAAATGATCTAGGCAAAGTTGGTTATATAAATAATAGACCCTTATAGAATTGGGAAGGGGTCTTAAAAATCTGTACCAGGATGTTAACTGCAAAATTTGTCTTGGTTTTTTCATAAGTGCAAATGGGAAGAATAATACTTTCTGTACCTCAGTTCCTAAATCAAGATGCTTTGCTGCCTATGCATGACAAGCTGGGGAATGTTTCCCAGTGTGTTCCCTCTTTGCCTCCTAACCATTTCCAGGTTATATGAGAGAAGGCAAAGACTTAACTACAGACAGGAAGAGACTGAGGGTGATCATTTTGAATGAGTTAGGACGCTCTAGGCACACCTTGCACCAGCTCATGCAAGAGGGCAGGAGCCAGGCTTACTCACATCTTAACCCAAGCAAGGGCAACGTCCAAAGACTTTTTCATATGGGGGGAAGGGATGGAGGGAGGAAAGGAGACAGAGAGAGTGTATGAGAGAGAGAGAGAGAGAGAGAGAGAGAGAGAGAGAGAGAGACAGAGAGAGAGAGACAGAGAGAGGGGGAGGGAGGGAAGAAAGGAGGAAGGGAGAGAGAGACCTAGATCTTAGAAGGTGGAGACAGAACTACCCATCCCTGGCAGGACATTGCCAGTGAAGTGGAAGACCCAATACTAT